GCTCCAGGAAACATATATAAGAATTCTCAGAGCACCGTTGTTTAAAACCATGTCAACGTGGGAAAAACCTTACCAAAACTCCAAGAGAGAATAGTTACATAAACTGTATTTCCCTCAGAAAGTAGAATTCTATGGGCAATTTTTAAAAATGAACTACAGAGGCACCTGGGTGGCTCAGTGAGTTAAAGTCTCTGCCTTCGGCTCAGGTCATGATCTCAGGGTCCTGGGATCGAGCCCTGCATCTGGCTCTTTGCCCGGCAGGGAGCCTGTTTCCTCCTCTCTCTCTCTCTCTCTCTGCCTGCCTCTCTGCCTATTTGTGATCTTTGTCTTCAAATAAATAAATAAAATCTTTTAAAAAAAAAGAACAAAACCAAATGCTGGTAAGAAATATTCTGAAGGAGCTAGGCCATGGAATTACCTGGCTCGTCTTTAAAAAACAAACAAACAAACAAATAAACAACTACATCTGTGGTTATCAGTGTACATAAGTGCCCTAATATCATGTTGAATGAAAAGGTTGCAAATGAATATGTACAATGTACAATTATATAGAACTAAGATAAAAAAAAAATACATAGGTTATTTGTGATACACACATTTATAGTAAGAGTTCTTTAAAAATGGAAAAGAAGGGGCAACTGGGTGGCTCAGTGGGTTAAGCCTCTGGCTTCAGCTCAGGTCATGATCTCAGGGTTCTGGAATCAAGCCCTGCATTGGGCTCTCTGCTCAGCAGGGAGCCTACTTTCCCCTCTCTCTCTGCCTGCCTCTATGCCTACTAGTGATCTCTCTCTCTGTCAATTAAATAAATAAAATCTTTAAAAATGGAAAAGAAGCACACATTAACTTTAGAACAGACATTTCTACTGGAAAGGGAGAGAAAACAGTGGCTGCAAGTGTGCTATTTTATTTTTTAAAGATAGAGAATGGTAGCAAAAATAGCAAAATATTAACAATGAATCTAGATGGTAGGTATAGGTCATATAAAAAATTTTCCTGTTTGAAATAGTTCCTAACTGATGTTAAAAACTCACCACACTATCTTTGACTGTCACAGAAATCCCCAATAAGCTCAATAAAATATTTGGTAATTGTTAGGTCCGTGATGAAAGGAGTGAGACTGATAGAAATCGAAGGTCAAGCAAAGCTTTATTTCGAGCCAAGCATCAAGAATCAAACCAACCGGTCGGGGCTGCCTCTTACAGAGAGGGCAACCACCCCCCAGCCTCACAGAATAACTTTTATAGAGCAAAGGCCTTGTGGTTGAGCCTGGCCACACACAGGTGGCCAATGAGATTACAACACACAGAGAAAGCTGCACAGTCATGCTAGGTCACACACGGGTGGCCAATTGAATTACAATTTACCCTATAGTAGATATTTGAACTAGCCTATCACCTTGGTCAGAATTGGTGCCCAAAAGGCAGAACCCACACTCCTTGGTAGCTAGGGAGACAGTATGCGTGCTCCACTGATTGGATGTCTCCACCTGGCCTGACCCGCCCTTGTAATTTGGGCTCTGTTCCCTGCAACTGGTCGACCATATTTTACTAGTTTCCCAGACTTGTTTGGGAAATATAAGAATGCCACCTGCAGGAAAAGAGCTACAAGTTTTTCAAAAAGATAATGATAAATGCTTAAAATTAGGTTAGTGGAATAATTAAACTGGCAATGGGCTAGTTCCATCCACACCTTCTAAAACTGCTGTCAGTCCCACATTAACTGCTTGATTTTGGAGGAAAATTTTAAAAAGACACCAATCATGCTGATACCAGGACTAGGGGAGAATTGCTACCTAAGAACAGAACACAAGTTATAAGGAGTTAGGAGTTAAAAAGTAGCCAGAACTTCTTGAATAATTTGTATATTACTTCATTCTTCTGATTTTATTTTTTAATATTTCCTTAAATAATTTAGTCCACAACACTGTACTCAGAAAGCAGTATAAGTAGTAATTCAGTGATTAGGCTCTGAAGTCAGACTCTCTGGGTCCCAATCCCAGCTTTACCGATTACTACCTGTGTGATTTTGGGCCTTTCACTATTGAATCATCTGAGAGTCTAACTCTAAAGTTAGACTTAAACACAGGGCTGTGTTTAAGATTTTCTCTTTTTTTCTTCTTCTTTCTCTCTAATGATTCATTCTTGACAATTTCTTCCATCTTCTTACTTACTAATTGTTTCATCAGCTCTATCTCATCTGCTGCTAATCCCGTTAATTTCTATTTATAGTGATTTTAATCTGGTTCTTTTCCAAATATGGTTGGACATTTTTAAGAGTCTTTTGCCCTTTGTATTTTCATTCCCTTCCTTTATTTCTTAGAACATAATAAATGTATTTTCTATTCTGTGCCTGGCAATTCCAGTACCTGAAGCTTTACACTAGCCTCTGCTACCAGTCTCAACTGGCTGTCACTTATGGTGCCTGGCTTCCCCATGGGTGCAAGACTTTTCTGAATGTAACCTTTATTTCTTAGACTTTAACCGTGAGAACTATTTGCAGGCTGGGCTAAAGGTGGATTCCTACTGGTAAGATCACCATTTGCTGATGCCTAAAATCCCTTTAAACTAAAATTTCAGTTTGAGATGCTTGGGACCATCCAGGTTGTGCGCATTTGGGCCTCAATGCATATGTGGACTATCTTGTGATTAGGAGTTAGCTGGAGACAGTTTTGTTTTCCCTTTCGGTACAAAATTCAAATACCACAATTGCTTTCAGTCTCTAAAGACAGGGATAGAGTTGTGGTTATTTCCAGGTCACCTTTTATAACGGAGGTCTAGCTCTTTAGGGTTTCAAATTAATTGGGGGAAGACCTCATATTACACTCCTAACTTGGGAAGGTCCTGAGCTTTGTGTTTATTCTTTTTTTTACCAAAGCCATGAAAACCTAAATTCAGATTGCTGGAGTAACGAGGGCCCTCAAGGCAAAAGCTACCTTCACCATTCCTTTTACCTCTTTTGGTCCACTTTTACCTTGATTTTTGGCCTCTGGTTGTGCCTTCCTAACTTACTCTTAAAATTATTTTTAGGAGCGCCTGGGTGGCTCATTGGTTGAGCATGACACTTGATTTTGGCTCAGGTGATGATCTCAGGTGTCCTGGGATGGAGCCCTGAGAGTGGCTCCTCATTCAGCAGAGAGTTTGCTTGTCTCCCTGGGACCCTCCCCCACTCCTCCCAAGCACACGCACCCGCACACACTCTCTCAAATAAATAAATAAATCTTTAAAAAATATTTTTACATTTTTATTTTATCCAGTGTTTTTAGCTGTTTTCAGCTAGAGGACCAGTCATGTTGTCTTTTAGAGCTCCAAGTCCTATTCATTCCTAATGCTATTAATAGGAACAGAATATTAAATACAACAGCCAGTCATTTGTGTTTTTAACAAATATTCATTGAGCAATTAGTAAATACCAGACAGTGTTCTAGGCTGTTGAAAAACAAAGTCCATACCCTCAAGGATTACATGTTAGGAAATAAATAAAAGTATCTTATGGCTGTGAAGAAAAAGAAACATGATAATGGGGGTAGAAAATGACAAGGTAAATAGTATTATTCTAAATGGAGTGGTCAAGGAAAACCTCTTGGATAAAGTGGTATTTGAGCAGAAACCTTAAGAAACGGAGAAGACCGTAAGTGGACTACTTGGGGGTAGAACTCTCAAGGCAAAGGTAAGAAATGCAAAGGCTCTAATGCAGGAGTGTCCTTGATGGGTCCAAAAACAGGGTAATGGGAGCAGAATGATCAAGAGGAGGGAAGACAGTAAAAATGAAACACACAATAATTACAATATGCTGTAATAAATCTGGGCAAGATGGCATAAGCTTCACATTTAATGAATTGAGGGACTCTGGCTTTTCTGAACCGTTTTCAGGTAGACACTCCAGAAATTAAATTACTAATGAGTAATCAAATCTATTGTTTATGTCTCACAAGTTCTGCTTTAAATGCATAGATGCAGTTTTAAGATTCTTTAAACAAAATTACAACTTAGAGGAACAAATATAACTATAGAAAGTTTAGAAATGATATTTAAAAATGATATCGTGTAGATATTTCAAATTTCTGGAGAGAAGTTTAATTATTGCAGGGCTGGTAGAAAACTGGACTCCAATTCTTAACACTTCATCAAGTTATTATACAAACTACACTCTTCCAATTATTCAATGTATATTGTGAATCTACAATTTCCTGTTAAGCAGGGATAGAGTCCCAAGGTCACATCAGGGTGAGAAGGATATACACTTACATAAATTATTTTGGTCTATGAAAAATGGTTGTTACAGCAGTCCAGGAGGAAGGGGCTAGCATAGCCAATTTTCTTCTTTAATCTTGGTAACAACTCTCTGAAGTAGGTACTATCACGCTGATTTTGTAAGGAAGGGGCATGGGGGCTCAGAGCACAAGGGTTGGTGGAACCTAGCCCCACGTGTTTTGATTTCAAGTGCGTAGCTCAGGTTCTGCGAACAGAAAAGGAATCAATCCCGGGTATTCCTCCTAAGGAGTTAATGTACTCCTTTGTGAAGCAACTTTACTCTGTAAGTCCTAACAAACGTTACTTTCGTTCTCTGGTTTAAACCACCTCAACTCAATTACAGACAACTTGTTTTATTTTTCTTTTGGGAGTCAAACGAATTTAAATTTGAAAGACCTCGCCTGGGCTGGGAGGGGCCAGACTCGCCCATTCACAGTAGCAGCGTAGATGGAGCGCTAGGGTCCTCTGAAGCTAGTCGCGTCTACACAACATCTAATCCAAATCCAAACTCCCCGGCTTTGACCACAGCCCTTTAATAGTACAAGACGGGGAGGGAGGCGGCCTCAAGGTGTCACTGGACGCGGATCGAACTTCCCAGGCTTGGGAGAAGGCGGTGGGAAACCAGGGACGGGGGCCTGCATTTCCTGAGTTCAATATTATTTATAGCCAGCGCCGGGAGAAGCCAAAGCCGACAACAGCTGCGCTGCAGCGCGGTGCCATGGCCATGCAAGCGGGTCTCACACCGCTCACCTTCACAGTCGGCCCCTGGCCGTTCCCCGGCCTCCTGGCCCATCGCCGTCCTCGGGTTAGACACCCAAAGTCCGGCACAAAAGGCCACCACTGCGGCTGGGCCCATGAACCACATGATGAGCCAGCCGCTCCAGACGCCTGCCACCTGCGTCCACCAAAACAGCCACGCAGCTATCGCCCGGGGCTGTACAGGACGCGGAGGGCAGAGCTAGGGGTTAGCGGGCGGTGGAATCTGCCGGGAGTTGCTGGGCCAAATGACGCAATTCAATCACGAGTTTCCATTGGCTTTCACGTAAGGAACTAGAAGGGGGGCGGAACGAAGACATCCCTTCCAGTCCCTCCCCGACTGGCGCGTGCGCAAGATCGCACACGCGCTGCGATTCTGGCAGGGCTAGGGTGGGAGGACGCAGTAAAGCTATTCGCCCGCAGTCTGAAAGGAAAGGCGAAACCTTCACGCTGATTGGTGGCGACGCGGGAGGCCGCGGCGGATGGACCGGACGCAGTGGGCGGGCGGGAACGTGAAGTTTCCGCGGTGCCTGATGGGGCTGTTCCGAGGCCCGAAGCTGTTGCCACAGGGAGACCACTCGTTACTGCTGCCGCCTTCTCTGCCGCCTCATGGCGGCCATCGGAGTTCACCTTGGCTGTACATCAGCCTGCGTGGCCGTCTATAAGGTGAGGGACTGGGGGAGCTGGGCTCCAGCCTGATGGCCCCGAGTTCTCCGGCTGCGGGGCAAGTCCTTTGGTTTCTTGTGGGGTTGTGAACAGCGTGTCGCCGGCCTAGGAATGTTTTGCGGAAAGGTATTATTGCGGGGAATCTGGAGCTGAAGGACCGGGCGGACCTGGCCTGGTCCTCCGCAGCTCCTCGGAAAAGGCTGCTGCGCCTTGGCAGAGGTCGTGAGGACGCGGGCGCGCTGGGTCCGGGAACGTCCGGGCCGTAAGGGGCCTGCAGGGGGGCGGTCCCGGGAACGTCAGGGCCTCTGGAGGCCCAGAGGGATCTCGGGGGCGTCGTGGGCACTGGAGGCTCGGAGTCGGGCGGACCAGGGGACGTCAGGGCAGCAGGAGGCCTGGAGGGTCTCGGGGACATGAGGGCCGCGGGAGGCCGGGAGAGGGGCGGTTCTGGAGACGTCAGGGCCTCAGGAGGCCGGGAGAGGTCTCGAGGACCTCGTGGGTTCTGGACGCCGGAAGAGGGGCGGTCCCGGGAAATGTCTGGGCAGCAGGGGGCCTGGGAGGTCTCGGAGATGTCAGAGCGGCAGGAGGCCCCGGAGGGGGATGGTCCCCGGGGACCGCAGGGCTGCTGCTGGCCGGGAGGTGGGCCTGAACATTCCGACCCGGAGGTTTTCAAAGGTTTGCCAGGAAAGGACCTGCTGGTCGAGATCTGGAACTGGAATTGATGATCCCGCGAAGCTCGTGAAGCGAGTTGGTGGTGCATGCTCTACTGACTTGACCTTTCTTGAATGAGGGGGCTTAACAAGGAACTGTAGTCCGCTTCTCAACAGTAGGGAGGTGGAAGGAACAATAATAATGAACTCCCCTGATATTAGTCTTGCATTTAAATGTCAAGTGATTTGGAAGGAAAAACCAAAGGGATTTAGTGTGCTACCTCATCATATGTAGAAAAAGGAAGAAAGATGTATTTGTCAGGAAAGAAAGAAAACTGGAAAGGGTGATATAAGTCTTATTATTGTATACAGGAAGGTTATTATGTTTGATCCAATTATTGACTAGAGCAGATTGAAAAAATGAGGCAGTTGTTTGTGAAATGTTGACCTTATATAAAATCTAGGAAATTAATAATGGCAATTAAATCTGCAAGTTTAAAGTATTGATACAGTGGTTTTTTTCCTACAGGTATAGCAATGTAAAACTGACCCGCATATGTCTGATGAGACAGTGTGTGTGTGTGTGTGTGTGTGTGTGTCTATGTGTCTATATCCCCCCCCCCCCTTCAAAAGATTACTAATAAATAGAGTTGTGTATTTTTTTTTTCCAGGATGGCCGGGCTGATGTGGTTGCAAATGATGCAGGTGACAGAGTTACTCCAGCTGTTGTTGCTTACACAGAAAATGAAGAGGTACTATTCTCCTCATGTTTGTATTTTTGAAATAAGTAAAATTACATGCATTGTAATATGCTGTTCTTTTTCAGGTTGTTGGATTGGCAGCAAAACAGAGTAGAATAAGAAATATTTCAAATACAGTAATGAAAGTAAAGCAGATCCTTGGCAGAAGGTATGGAATAAAATAATACTTTTACATATGGAAATAAAATGTATTCATACATTCTAAGCATAACGTGAAATGAAACTAGAAACATCAGTTTGGTTTTTTTGTTGCTTTTTATGATTGAATCATTTCAGAGATTATCCCAGTAGGCTCTTTCTTTTGATGATTAGTGTTGTATTTTCTCAGGGATGGGATTCACTTGTTTTTTTGCCCAGAGATCTGTTTTTACTGATAAATGCCAACGTTCGTATAGTTTGATAATGTTTCATTTAGAAGTGGTAATTTGGACTTTTCATCTTTTTACATGACAGAGGGAACTTGAAAGATTTTGTGGGAATTTGAAGTCTATTCTGCACTGTAGCTGACTTTTGCAAAATTTGTTACAATTGGTCATAATTTATATAGAAGCTATTGATTTTCTTTCTCAGGTCCTTTTGTGACACTTTCTGGGAACTAACTTTTCCAGTTGGCTTACAAATTTAATCATTAGAGAAACAGCTTAATTAACATCTTAAGTAAGAATCAGGTTAATCATCTGTTGTATCTTTAATTAAAAGATTAAAGAGGCTTGCTTCTCCAGACTTCTGTCTCCTCAAATTATAGATTACCATAATAATTAGGGGTTTTCATTTTCACTGGAGTAGTAATACTTGATACAGTGTTTTTAAATTTTCAAAGTGCTTTCACATCTATTATTTAATCCTCTCAAATCCTTAAAAGATTGGTAAGGCAGGTTTTATTCCTCCCCATTTGTAGATGAGAAAATCAAGACACTAGAAGTTATGGAATTGCTTGGTTAGTGAGGGGGGTGAGCTAGATAGGACTGCAGTTCAGGACTTCTAACTCTTAGCCCCAAGTTCATCTTCCCTTTCTGCTTTGTTCAGTTGAGAATTTAAGTATAAAAGCCCCATGTTGATCTTGGGATTTGGGGGTTATGGATAAATCTAATATTTATTTCTTTCATACATACAGATATTTTTTGTTATCCCTTACCTGTATTTAGTTAAATTGAACTTGATTTATTTTTTTCCTTAGGGTATTTGTGCAGTAAGTCAAAATGATATTTTGGACAGAATTTAAATTTTTGTGATGATAAATATATTCCCCTCTCCGTTTATGTGTTGACAAAATTGAATATTGCGCATATTGAAAATAAATCAATTGGTGTCAAAATTTGCAGGTTATAAAATCTCTAAAAAGCTCTAGATGGCTTTGAAGCTATATTGACTAAAAGAAGCCGACAGTATGGACTTTTTTCAATTAAATTTTTTATTTTGAGATCATTGTAAATTTACATACTGTTGTAAGAAATAATACAGAAAGACTCAACGTATTACTGGATTTACCACTTCCTCTGGATGCTAATATCTTGGAGAACTAGAGTACAGTATCACAACCAGGATACTGACATTGATACAGTCAAAATACAGAACATTTCTGTAGATCTAGCTCCTGGTGGCCCTGTTGGATTTTGCTATTTTAGGGCAGATGATCAGAGTAATGATATGGTTGTGTTCTGCCATACTATGCAAAATCTTTGTATTGTCAGGAAGAAATTAAGCTTACTTTTCTGGCCCCCAAAGTTATCTTTTAACAAAGTGCCATGGTGACGGTCAGATGTAATATGTAACCACAGCAGGCTGCTGAGGCCAAGGCTGGTAAAGGATGAGTGCTCTTCAGACCTGCTGTTCCACCATGGTCCTGCTGGCACTTCTCTAGAGCGAACTGTCTCTTGGACCAGGTATTTCCACCTTAGCCTACTTACAAGACAGTGGTGATTTTTACAGATAGACACAGTTGTACCAGGTCTCAGCCTCAGAAGCACTCTCTCTCTTTTGTGGAGGAGTCGATCCCCTTTTACCAAGCCAGTAATGTCCTTTTGAGCTCTTGGTCCAGTACCTGTCCTGGGCGAACCCTCACAGTTGGGCTTTCTTGGTCTTGGCGTCCTGCCTGTTTGCGTCCTACTCACAGGTAGCACCACCTAACTTGCTGCCACAGTTATCCTTACACCCTCCCTGTAACTCTCATTCCCCTATGGCCTTCCAGCCAGAAATGCGGTCCTTGGACCTGGCTTCTCAACAATTAGCCCCGAGAGGGAAGAATCGGCTGGCTCCTGGAAGTACACTGAGAGCACACAGAGCTTCCCCACACCTTCAGACTTGCACCTTGCAGCCCAGGAGCTTCCTGCAGCTAGCCTTCCTTCCCGGTCCACTATGGCCAGTTCCAATAGCAGTGCGGGCATCCGATGGTCCCGGCAGGAGACGCGAACTCTTCTCTCCATACTAGGCGAGGCAGAGTATATCCAGCGCCTCCAGACTGTGCATCATAATGCGGATGTCTATCAGGCTGTGTCTAAGCGAATGCAGCAGGAAGGCTTCCGCCGCACCGAACGTCAGTGCCGCTCCAAGTTTAAAGTTCTGAAGGCGTTGTATTTAAAGGCGTACGTTGCCCATGCCACGAGTGTGGGTGATCCGCCGCACTGTCCATTTTATGATACGTTGGATCAGCTTCTCCGAAATCAGATAGTGACTGACCCAGACAACTTAATGGAGGATGCTGCTTGGGCCAAGCACTGTGATCAGAACCTAGTGGCCTCTGACACCCCAGGGGAGGAGGGCACCAGCCTTCTCAGAGCAAAAAGGACTCAGGCAGCAGATCATCAGCCTATCTTGAAAACAGTTAAGGAATCAGATGAGGATTGTCAACTGAGAATCAGTGACCAGATGCGAGAAACCAGTGACCTCGAGGACTCCTGGGATGAATCCTCGGGTGCAGGTAACTCCCAAGCATGTGAAGGATTGGGGTACCAGAGTCACTTGGTTCTAAACAGCAGCATATATTTGGATGGTGTTCTCTTCAACCTTGTCTCCATTTCTGACCCCTGCCCTCTGTTTTTTAAGCCTTCTCGTAAGGTAAGGGGCTCCAGGTCTTCAAAAGCAATGACCCTAGGTATATAAGGTATTAGATCTTTTGAAATGTGGAAAAAGTACTCTTTAGAACCAGACTCGATTTGGCATTATTTATAGTGGGTGCATAGGAACGTGAGAATTGAGATTGGGTTGGCGGCTACGTGGAAAGGGGTTCAAGAAGGCAGCGGGGAGGTTTTGGAGGGAAGATAACGGTCGGCAGAAGTGTCCAGACCAAGGCATTGAAATCTTCCCAACCCCTTGTGGAAAGAGGCCTTTCCAGGAACTACCACAGTGTTGTAATTGTCTCTCAGCTCCGCTGCTGGCTCCAAGCATTCCCTTCACAGGAATGTCCTCTTTGCAACATTGTTGCTTTGTTTTTCAGGGTGCTCTCAAGGGACCCCCAGCTACAGCAGTTCCCACCACCTTTTCAGAGGTGCAGTTGCTCCCTGTCAGAGCAGCCCCATGACCAGACTGGGTGTGTCCAGTGAGCCCAGTCCCTGCGCCAGTACCAGCCGGAACACTCCTGGGGTGGCCTCCACACAGCGGCCTCCGGTCGTCTCCTCCAGAGTTCCTTTTGTTTCTGGTGGGGATAGGCCTTTGACCAGTGAGCCCCCTCCAAGGTGGGCGAGGCGAAGAAGGCGGTCAGTGGCCAGGACTATTGCAGCTGAGTTGGCAGAAAACAGGAGGTTGGCACGAGAACTTTCAAAGCGTGAGGAAGAAAAATTGGACAGGCTGATTGCTATTGGTGAGGAGGCCAGTGCTCAACAAGATACTGCCAACGAGCTCCGCAGGGATGCCGTGATCGCAGTCAGACGCTTGGCAACGGCAGTGGAAGAGGCCACCGGTGCTTTTCAGCTAGGGCTTGAAAAATTGCTTCAGAGGTTAATTTCAAATACCAAAAGTTAGGAGTTGATTGCAAAAGAGTCTCTTTCCTAAACTGGTAGAAGCCCAGGTCCCACACCTGCCTTTTGGTACCCTGGCTCCTTTTACAGGTCCTTCGGGAAAAAGAGCGGATGAACCATTAATACACAGGGTGGCAGGAAGATCCACACTAGTTACTTTCCCCAAGCTTCTCCACTAATTGAAAGACCTCTCGTATGTGTGAGGAGCGGTCTCCTAGAAAACAGATGGAGCCGAGTCCAGAGCGCTAGTTAGCTGTGGCTTTCCCTCTGACGCAAGGCAGTTTAGTTTACCTCTACATCAGTTTCCTCATCTGTAAAATGGGGGCTAGGTAATAACTCCTGACCTGCCTACCTCACAGGGTTGTTGTGAGGATCAAATGGCTAATAGATGTGAAAGAGTTTGAAAGTTTAAAAGCACTACACACTATATACATATAAGTTATTAATGCATCTGACCTTGGCTGAGGTAAGGCTAGGGTGAGGCACATTAGTTGACAAGATACAGAAGTACGGTGTATACCATGACCTCATTGCTTGAATCTTTACTAGTTTAACTTGACTGATTCTTGTAAGATCTTCATTTTTTTAATTCCTCTGTGTAGCTCATTAGGCTAATATAGATATATGTATTTGTACCTTTATCTCTTATGTTTTCACTGCTGTGTCTGTGACATACCTGCGAGTAAGCACTCAGTGGTCAAACCATCATTCCCTCCGTTTTACTAGTTCTTAGTGTCTTAACACTATAAAGATATAATTCAGAATGGACAGGGAGCCACAGTTGTGTGTTATGATTCATATTGATAATCTCTAATGAGGTATTGGCTGTTTTATAAAACATTAAATGTAAGTAAATTCTTTGCATTCCATATCCTTTGGGTCCCTTTATATGCATAATTACGTGTCTTTAGGTTGGGTATCATTTGAACAACATGTGGAAACAATTTAGAATCTGTTTTCCAAATGCTTTTAGCTAATTTTCGTTCTGTTCTGTTAGCCTTTTTTCTGTCTCACATGTTACAGAAAGCAAGCCCTGGAAAACTGTCCTAGGGAGCTTTGCAAAATCACTTTTTCTCATACTGTAAACAGACGTTCACCTTGTTAATGGCATATGGTGGAAGAGGACAGCTTTGGGAACAATTGAGGATGGTGTGGATAGAGACTGCCTGCAGAGTTAACTGCTTTTAAGCACAAAGCCCTCAACAGACACATCCCCTTCCCTCCCAAAGCATACATACTTCTCTAGGAGATATGAAGGTGTTGAGCCATATTCCAGTTTACTTCAGGAGGAATGCCATTACTGGCCATCATCAAACTAACTTAAAGCTTTTAAGTGGTTTAGTCAGGACTTTCAGGAGATACAAATAGGAGCCTTGGAATTTAAAAGGCTTTCCTCCAGTCTACAGGCTAAGAATAAATAAATAAAACAAGTGTAGGCATGTTTGAAGATATTTTGTTTTATATTTTGTAGGCTTGGGTGCTTACCTAAAAGCTGGCAATGTAGATCCATAGAGAAATAGTCAAAACAATAGTGGGAATATGCCTGGAACCCTGAATAGAGGGCAAGCGAGCAAACTGTTCTGATGAGTGGGAGTTGAATGTAGAAGGCAGCTGGTGTGGTAGAACACACTGGACTCCAGTTAGAACTGGGTTCTAACCCTGTCACAGTTTGTTATATCAGGTAGATGACTTGCCCTGTTTGTGCCTCAGTTTCTCTAAAAGGAGAGATTTGTACTAGATGACTTTTCTAGTACCTTCCAGTTCTAAAAAAAATTGTCATAAGTGGCATAACAAAAAAAGGCGAAGTGAAATTTTAATTGCAGTGTTTTCAGCTACGGCCACATATTGTATGTTTGAATTATTGGTAACAATTGTATTTTAAGGAAGCATTCTGTGATCTTAGTATTTATTAATATACTCCGCTTAAATAAGCATCACACCATACATAGATTCCTTGCTTTAAAGAAGCATATCCTAAGGCAGTGAAATGGGTATATATCTATACATGTGCATTTTCTCAAATCATTTTAGGCCTTTATATGGAGGGATGTGTGTCATTTATAACTGGATAACACTAATGTAGATATGTAGACTTTCTGGAAAAACAGGGCAGTACTTGAAGGAGAGTTAGGCCTGTACTATATTAATCTATTAATGGTAGCAAGGTACATAGGCAGGGATTTATTTGAGATAAGAGAAGTGCTAAAGAACAAAAGTGGAGTAAAACTCGGAAGGTAGTATCGTGAAAATCTTTTGGGCGAAATAACCTTCACGTGAGAATAAAACTAAAGTGAAAATTCTTAATGAAATAAACAGAAAAAGAGGCGAAATATTGTTAAGGGGAGGCCCCATGAGGGAGAACAAGCTCAGAAATCCTGCCTAAGCTCTAGGCCCAGCCATTCGTATCTGCCCGTCTTTTGGCAGGTCATTTTACCATTCTGTGACTCAGGTTCCTCACCCACAGAGGGAGAAATGAATGACCCTCCTACCTACCTCACAGGAATGTCGTGAGGGCCAATTGAACAGATGAATGTAAAAACACTTTCAGACACAGAAGGCGCCGTGTTGTGACAGTAACGGGGAAGAAGACCCTGGGGCACCTTAGTGCTGCGCGTGCCAGGTCCGACGGCCTGCTGACGGTGCAAGAGACATTTAAGGAAGGACGAGGAGGAGAAAGTGGCGTTGCTTGTAGAGGTGGTGATACAGTGGTGGGATTAACACTCGGCCACCTAAAGACCATGATGTAAATGAGGTGCTGTGTATGCCAACTTCCCACCGTCCTTTGTGTTTCTGTTAAGTGATTTAATCCTGATGTGGACAAATAAAGTTTTCCCTTGTATGTACTTGTGGGTCAGTCCGCTGCTTTCTGGCGATATCCATGACCATGTCTTGTCACGTCCACGCTCTGCTTTCTTTTTCTTTACCAGCTAATCCCCAGGGTCTCGCCTGTATCTGGCTCTAAGAGCTTTCTGTGCTTCCTGTCCTCACACGAGAAGGACCCTCTTTGCAGGGCAGTTGAGAAGTAATTTTCCATTTCTAAAAGTTCTTTAAATTCCATAATATAGGCTTTCCTGGCAAATTACCTTGTCTAAGATAGCTCACAGATAGTTTACAGATAACAGGGTAAATTGTCCAGGGTAGGTTGACTAAAATTCTCTTCTGAAGAAAACAGCTGTTAAGTGTCACGCTGAAATTACATTGGTGCAAAAAAATTACAATGGGTAGACTTCATCTTTTTTTCTTACTCTTAACATAGTTGTCCAGGATGTAGTCTAAATACTGGATTATTGGATTTAGAGGAAGGAAGGGAGGGAGGACTGAGGTGAAAAGAATACTAAACTTCGTATTAAAGATCTGGATTCCAGTCCTTCTGCCATGAATTAACCCTGTGACTTAGGGCAAGCTCCTTACCTGTTTTCCTCTCTATCAAGTTTTAGGTTATAGAGAAGGAAGTATGAGGGATCTTCAAGTGTTCTAGACAGATTTCTGAGCTGCATGAGTCCATCAGAAACCCCTTTTGTCTTCCTCTTGTTTACACAGGTTAGGGTCCTCAGGTGTTCAGTAACGGCAGCAGATAGTCCCTATTCATTTCCAACTCCTCTTACTAAAACTGATCCGTGGACGGAATAGCTATACCTTGGAAGAAGGGTTAACTGGAAGGGTTTACTTTAATTTCTAGATGAAATTAAGCGAAGGATGAGCGACTCCTATCACTGCTCAAAGGGGCAGGAGTACTTAAGTCCTTTACCTTCTTACTGGGAGGCAGTTGATAAAGTGCAAACAGCAGAAGACTGACTAGAGAAGACCCCTTACTAGCTTATAAGTCACTGATTCCCTAAGGACCTCTTTTCTCTAAAAGAATACCTGCTGAATTAACCCCACTTAAGTGTTGTGAAGATCAAGTGAGGTAATAATAGGTAAGAACATTTCTGTAGTCTGCTCAAATTGGTATTTTGCGCAACATTACACCCATTGTTACTTTTTTCATTTCCATACACATTTATTTACTACTTAATTTGTATGGGACATTATAGATCTATGTACCTGCAGGATATTGCTCCTTTCCATTTACAACGTGTGTACTTTTGCTCAGTTTTTTTGACGTTGCATGTTGATTCATCTTCAGAAGCTAAGAAACAAAGATGGTGCTAGGTGTTCTGGTTTGCCCTTACTTTGAAATATTTTCTTGCCCTTTTCATCTCCGGGATTGGGGCTTCAAGATCATAGCTGAGAGAGTATACGACATAAAATCACTGATACTATGAAAAATTACCCCGAATGTATAGCATCTGTTAATAGCAAGATCAGAACAAATAAGAGCTATTAACTTTCAGATGTAAAGATTAACACTTTAATAGAATCACTAACCATTATAAATACTATATCCATTTAATCCTATCCTCTATATCATGATTTGTTAATACTAGACAACTTAATAATTGCTTGTATTTTTATATTTGTTTAGTGGTATGGAAAAATATAATCTTTAAATATTACACATCAACAATACTGATTTTAATATTTATCTTTATCTTTATGGACAGCTCTGATGATCCACAGGCTCAGAAATACATCAAGGAAAGTAAATGTTTAGTGAGTATGGTTCCATTATTACCTCTCTATTACACGAAGTAATTGCCAAAGTCATAACCTATAATATTATTTTGAAATTCTGTATTTTTATTAAAATTATTCCTCATCTAACACACTTAACAATTTCCTTGATAGGTCATTGAAAAAAATGGAAAGTTACGATACGAAGTAGATACCGGAGAAGGAACAAAGTTTGTTAACCCAGAAGATGTTGCCAGACTGATATTTAGTAAGATGAAAGGTATTGAGCAAAAGATCTTTTAAAAGTTGACCTTAAAAAAAAAGTTAGAGGTGTTTCTTGATCTGGAGAGAAACAGGGTGATGGAACAGATGAAGGAGACCTAACACTAGATCTGTCTGGGCCACTACCTAGCCGCGTGTGACCTTGATTAACGAGTTCCTTCCCCAACTTCAGTTGTCTTAGAAGTAACGTTATGGATGGGGCCAGGTTAGCATTTTCACAGCTTCTTAAAGTGAAGTGACCAAATAAGTTTGGTGAAGAATGAACATTTTATCTCAAGATTTAACTCAACATTTAGCTCAAGATTAACAGTGCTCCTTGAACAGTTATTTAGGCAGATGAAGCAGGTCTGGCTTACCACCACTTCTGACGAAGGCTCGAAGCTGAGTGGCCTGCTGTGGAACAGTTTGGAAAATTCTGGAGTGCAGTATTTATAAGGCTCACTTCAGCTCTGGAATTACCTTATAAATTTTTGGGATGGAAGGCAGCTTTTTAATGTGTTGAACTAATATGCTGCTTTTCTTCACACTCATGGATTAGCAGCTCATTCTTAATGGAACCAGGCTAATTTGGGAGAGAGTTGCCATTTTTGAAGCCTAAGAGCCAGGCTTTTTGGAAAGTACCTAGTTCCACGTCCACAAACTTCCAAAACCACAGAAAGTTCTGCATGATTTAAGAGAGCGAGGGAAGAAAATGAGTGTGGTGGGCAATCAGGTGAATTGGAAAATCTTTACAGAGAGAAGGTCTTTGGCACAAATTAGTAAACTGCACAAAGTGTCGTGATTTTTTTTTTTTGTCATTGGAATTTATTTTTATATTTTTTTATACACAGAAACAGCACATTCTGTACTGGGCTCAGATGCAAATGATGTAGTTATTACTGTTCCATTTGATTTTGGAGAAAAGCAAAAAAATGCTCTTGGGTAAGTTTATCTTATTTGCTTAAAGGAAATAGATTTCATATCATAATGTAGTAAAAGGTAAAATTGTATTTGAAAATACCTTTGGCGATAAAATTGTATTTGTAAATAGATGATTATAGTTACATATATAAATAATATGGTAGAAAGTCTAGTAATGATCATTAATATTTCCTGTCTTTTATGAAATGCCAAAAGAACATAAAATTAGATGTACCTTATTAATTGTTTCAATTGGAAATGTTTTTAATTACCAGGTTAAGTGGTTTACGTGGTAATTATATAAAAATACAGTTTTTTGCAATGAAAATATTTGCAATAATTTCTTTACCTTAGATCTTTACATCTAAGTTGGGGGGGCACCTGGGTAGCTCAGTCAGTTAAATGTCTGCCTTTGGCTCAGGTCATGATCCCGAGGTCCTGGGATTGAGCCCCACATCAGGCTCCCTGTTCCGCAAGGAATCTGCTTCTCCCTTTCCCTCTGCTCCTCTTGCTCACTCTCTCTCTCTGTGTCAAATAAAAAAAATCTTAAAAAAAAAAAAAAGTTGGGTTTAGTTTTTAGTTTTTATGGGTCATTATTCAGTTATAATTGGCAACCATGCATGCCTTTTCCTTGAGGATAGAGTCTCATGTGGGACTTCAGCAAGCATCAGAGTTGCTTCTGGGACAGATAATTGCATTATTTACTTGAATTTGTGGGATATTAAAACTGTGACCCTAAGTTAAAGAAATTGGAGAGTTCCAAAATGTATTATAAATTTGTTTATTAATTTATGTATCTTTATTAAGTTATAATTAATTACATTATTAATTAAATTTGTTTATTATTAATCTCTAAAGTTTATAAGCATGGGCATTTTTGAGAGCTTTCCTTTTCCTTACCTCATATATGCACACGTTATTTTCTTTGTTAACAAAATACTTGAACATGTTGTATTGATGAACATGTTGATATTAAATTTATTGAACGCAAATCATCCACAGGGAAGCAGCTAGAGCTGCTGGGTTTAATGTTTTGCGGTTAATCCATGAACCATCTGCAGCTCTTCTGGCTTATGGAATTGGACAAGACTGCCCCACCGGAAAAAGGTAAAAACCATATTTGCAGCTTTAAGGTTTTCAGTACAGAAAATATTTTAGATTACTACATTTATATCAGTAGGGATTATTATATAAATAAAGCCTTTATGAATAAAAAGATCCTGAAACTGCATTGGAGATTTTCAAATAGATGAGAAAGACGTCCTAGGAGAGCAGAGAAAGGACATAATGAGAGGGAAAACTGAGCTTTCCTAGCCTTCTCTTATCACTCATGTTATCTTTATTGGAGAAAGCTTTGAAATTTACAAGCCCGACTAAATTCTAGCTCAGGCTAGGGCACTGTTAATTTTTCCATCAATTCCAATTATTAAACATGTTTAGAAACTGAGTACTTTTACATACATTTTTCTTGGCATGAGATGGGGAGAGTCCGGCATAAGATTTGAGATGTCTTTTAGTAATAACATAGTAAGACATACTCCTAATTTAGTTGTCAAAACTTGTCTTAATAGAACGGACAGGGGCACCTTTAGGGAGGGAGATTAAACAGATGTGCCAATTTTTCCTAGTTGTTTCACCTTACTCATATTTCACAGCTAGAAAAACTAATATGTTTAAATCAGTACGAAAACAGTTTTAGGTGAACTAGATAATCATAGCATATCAGAAATCAGCTTCTAGTTTTACATATGTTTGATTTTTATAGAACGTGTTATTATAGTAGTTACTTGGTCAATATTAGCACATAAAATTTCTATATTTAATTCTCTTACGATTTGTTATAATCACAAATCTCTGCTTGGAAAGGTTAGTATCTTGCACTGTATATTAATTATACTGGAATTAAGAAAGAAAAGAAAATTTAGTATCTTGAACTCTGGTTACTCAGAAAAATCAAATTTTACTAGTACAACTAAGTAAAAACAAACTTTGGCTTTGAGTCAGGAGATATGGGTTATGGTTTCTAGGTTTAATTCAGCACTAAGTGATGACCATGGACAACTGAGTTGACTCGTGTGAGATTTTCAGTTTCCTTATTATGATTAGGGATTAAACTAAGTTAACTTCTAATGTCTAACCTACCTTTAAAACGGTGTGATTCTCTCATAACTTACTCAAGTTATGTTTCTTTTAAGCAATATTTTGGTGTTTAAACTTGGAGGAACATCCTTATCTGTCAGTGTCATGGAAGTGAACAGTGGAATATACCGTGTTCTTTCAACGAACACTGATGATAACATCGGAGGTACACATTTCACAGAAACCTTAGCACAGTACCTAGCTTCGGAGTTTCAGAGGTGAGTATTAATGGACTTGATGATGGTTTTTTGTTTTTTTTTTTTAAAGATTTTATTTATTTATTTGACAGACAGATATCACACTTCAGGCAGAGAGGCAGGCAGAAAGAGACGGAGAAGCAGGCTCCACGCTGTGCAGAGAGCCTGACGCGGGACTCAATCCCAGGATCATGACCTGAGCCAAAGGCAGAGGCTTTAACCCACTGAGCCACCCAGGCGCCCTTGATGATGTTTTGATTGAAGTTTCTCTTCAGGGTTTTTGTTTTGTTTTTTTCTGTTTTAAATTGCACTGCTTGGAAGGAGGACCTATTTTTCGTTTTTATTTTCCAGTGCGTTGGATATTTTCACGTCGGTGTTATCCTGTGCTCTCCCAGCATTTGCAGGGAAGCAGAGGCCAAGTTGCGCAGCACAGTGTGCTCAGACTTTTCATTTAGTGCGAGGGCCCACCAGATGTTGAACAGTGTGATCTTGGGTCTCCAAGTTCAAATTCTTAATTCCTCAGGTGCTGCTATTATGTCTAGATAAAGGAGGGTACAGGCACTGAGGGCTCACTACCTTCTAAACAAATTTGAAAAGGTTAGAGCTGATAAAGAATACATTATGTCATGGTCACATCCTAGTGAATTAGTGTCTTTGGAGTGTTTATTTAATTACTAACCTGCTGTCACAAGGAATATTTCAATTTTGTTCCTGGGTGTAATTATTCCATTCAAAATCATGAGCCAAATAAATAAAGCTTATATTTTAGACATTGCCACTCTTAAAAAAAAATTTGGGGGGGGGGTGCAAAAACAGTATTTTCATCAGTTTGACTAAACTGGGTAAAAAAACATCTTGAAAAAGAGGTAGGTTCTCACTTGTTTCGTAAAGACCTATACTGTTTTTTGTTATGAGGTGCTTCAACTCCAGGGTAAGACGTTGTTCATTTGACTATCAGTTCCAGTTATTATACATGTTTAGAGACAAAGCCAAGTAATTTTAACAATTACCTTGTGTTGGGGATAGAGAAATGGTAATTTTACATATTTTATATGTGTCAAATTTCTTTAAAGAAGCCCTTTTAGAGGCACCTGGGTGGCTCAGTCAGTTAAGCGTCTGCCTTCAGCTCAGGTCGTGATCCCAGAATCCTGGGATCGAACCCCATGATTGGTGGGGAAGCCTGCTTCTCTCTCTCACTCTCCCTGTTGGTGCGCTCTTTCTCGTGCTCTCTCTCTGTCGAATAAATAAATAAAATCTTAGGGGAAAAAAAAAACCCTTTTAGTTTTTTTGGTTTTTTTTTAGTGCTGGACCGATCATTTTATACCATTAAACTGTGATTGTGCTGCATTTATAAACGGAGAGAGATAGAAGACCTTGACCTGGTCACAATAGATCTCTGTCACCCTCTTGTTTATCGCTTCTGCCAAAAGATGGTAGCTACTCTACTTCTTCAAAGGACAGTCTGTTATTATGGTCACAGAATTTAGCAATTCCAAGTATCAAAAATACTCATTTCTTTTTCTTGAGGAGACTCTTAATTGCAAAGAATTTTTTTTTTTTTTTAAAGATTTTATTTATTTATTTGACAGAGAGAGATCACAAGTAGACAGAGAGGCAGGCAGAGAGAGAGAGAGAGAAGCAGGCTCCCTGCTGAGCAGTGAGCCCGATGCGGGACTCGATCCCAGGACCCCGAGATCATGACCTGAGCCGAAGGCAGCGGCCTAACCCACTGAGCCACCCAGGCGCCCTAATTGCAAAGAATTTATTCAGACATTTTGAAGGGTTTTAAAGCTAGTTACTAAAATCTGATATTAATATGAATTTATTATATTGTTATACTAGTAGGCATTATCCAGATTTGAGTTTTTATAAATTCTAATGTATAGAATCTAATCATTAGAATTTATATATAAATGGCCTAGGAATTTTTAAGCTCCAAAGACTGTATTTTTTATTTAGATCCTTCAAACATGACGTGAGAGGGAATGCCCGAGCCATGATGAAGTTGATGAACAGTGCTGACATTGCAAAGCATTCTTTGTCAACCTTGGGAAGTGCCAATTGTTTCCTTGACTCACTGTATGAAGGTCAAGATTTTGACTGCAACGTGTCCAGGTAAAACTAAAATTCAAAAAACCTAAAAAATTCCAAAGACTTTTTTTTAGGTGTAATTTTCTCACTTAGGGCTTTTTGTTTGTTCTTTTGAGATTTATTAGCCATCGGTAAAGGAAGAGCTTTCGTCTTTATTCCAAGGTCGAGTTCTTGTTAGACTAAGTAACTGCTCCAAAGCTACTGACCTCAGTTGTAATTGCTTGCCCTGTTACCGACAGCTACGAAGAACAGTGTGTGAAAAAGGAATCCTAGATCTTTGAAAGAAAGGCTTGTTGTTGGTTAAGTTTATGTGAGCTGCACGTGTTTCAACGGTACTTAGTCAAACTAAATAGTTAACACAGTGTGGCAGGCTGTAGTCTAAGTAGTAATGTATATTAATTCATCAAATCCCCATAACAACCCAATGAGGTAAGTAGGATACTTTTCTTTATTTTACACACAAGGAAGCAGAACCAGAGAAGTTTCATTCTTGCCCAGGATTACGGGGTAAGTATGTATAATATTAGTGATGGACAGCGGTTCAAACGCCACAAGCTTGACTCCAGAGTTCATGCTCTCTGTCACCAAAGATTCATGTCTGTCTTCATTTTATGGCCTCTGTCATCTGTTGTCAGCATTTTATTATTATTTTTTTTAAATATTTTATTTATTTATTTGACAGAGAGAGAGAGAACATCACAAGTAGGCAGAGAGGCAGGCAGAGAGAGAGGAGGAAGCAGGATCTCCGCAGAGCAGAGAGCCCAAAGCGGGACTTGATCCCAGGACTCTGAGATCATGATCTGAGCCGAAGGCAGAGGTTTAACCCACTGAGCCACTCAGGCACCCCCGTTGTCAGCATTTTAAATTTTGTTAGTGTTTACTTAGTAAACACAGGTTTAATTTGCATAAAGTTGTTTTAAATTTCCTAATCTTTTACATAATCCAAAATGTTGGTTACAGGTGATTACACCTGTACTCAGAGAATCCAAAGGGAGGACATTGCCCTCTCATTTTGCCTTGCATATTATTAACGCTAATAATAGCTACCAGTGGTTCGCTGTTTAAACCTCCCAACAACCTAACAGGTGACTTGGAAACATAATAATAATTTCCAGAATTACAGTATTATTTTTAGGATTTTACTGACTATATTTGGTTAAATTCACTCTTCATTTGGTCCTTATAGTTTAGCTTCCTTATTTCCCAGGGCTTTCCTGAAGACTCTAGCTCTGTGTCCCCAATACAATAGATACTAGCCACCTATGGTTATTTAAATTGTAATTCATTAGAAATAAATAACATAAAAAATTCAATTCCTCAGCACTAGCCACAGTTCAAGTGCTCAATAGTCTCAGAAGCCTGGTGACTCACAGAAAATTCTGTTAGCACTGCTAGCTCTTTTAAGAGAGATTTCAAACTATGACCCAAAAGATTGAAAGGTGTTAAATTGAAATCTCTTTGTGGGCAGAGTGTTGTGTATTTTTTCTGTTTCTAGAATTCCTAACTTAATGGTGAGTTTGTCCAAGTACTCAGTATATGCTTGCATATTATTGCTTGGTTATCAGGAATGAAATAGAATTTGTAATTTTTCATTAAGGAAATTTTGCCTTTATCACAAAGATTTCAACTATAAGGTATGTATAGATAGTACATATAACTTTAAAAATCAGTCATCTGCATTTAAGTTTAGTATGAAGTTACGGAATACATTTTTCATAATCATAGATCTTAAAATTATGTGTTAGCATTCAGGCTTCTCAGAGTAAGAGAACTAAACACGTACAGCGTAGTCTCAGATTATAAAGAAAAATAATAATAAATAATTTTTGAAACCTTTAATGTATAAAAATAGCGAAAGCTTCCAAATGGAGTTTGAATTTGAATCTATGGCTTTGCTGGAAATACCATACACTGAGTATTTATTTTTAGATTTTTTGGAAAGCTTTTGCAAGTAAGCCATGGGTAAGAATCTTCTGAATTTGACATTGAATGTCTTCATACATTTGTAGGTGAATAACTTAGGTGTCCTCTCCCCACCATGGTATTATACTGTTAGGTGTTTAATATCTTGTTCTGATCATAAACCTATCTTTAAGAGAACCATTATTCTAGGTTTGGGCATTACTCTTCACAAGAAAAATTGTCTTAATTGTACTAAGCCTTTTTTCTATGTCTTTTCCTGTGTGTGTACAGAGCAAGATTTGAACTTCTCTGTTCTCCACTTTTTAATAAATGTATAGAAGCAATCAGAGGACTCTTAGAACAAACTGGATTTACAGCAGATGATATCAACAAGGTAATACTTCTATATTTTTATTTTAGGAGTAGTATCAGTCTTGGAATTCAGCCCCTTGTATTGAAATAATTTTTTTTTCTTTTTTTTTTTTAGATTTTATTTATTTATTTGACAGAGAGATCACAAGTAGACAGAGAGGCAGGCAGAGAGAGAGAGAGAGAGAGAGGGAAGCAGGCTCCCTGCCAAGCAGAGAGCCTGACGCGGGACTCGATCCCAGGACCCTGAGATCATGACCCGAGCCGAAGGCAGCGGCCTAACCCACTGAGCCACCCAGGCGCCCCTGAAATAATTTTATTAATTTAAATGTTTTCTGAGATTGTGTTAAAGAATAAGGAAAATTGAATTTTTTAATACTGGCTCCTGTTTCCTAGCAAAAAAGAATAGTTTCTTTCCAGTATATTTTTTGAGATGTGAACAAAAGCTGATGGATACTTACATGTTTACTATGTGCAAAGCACTGTTTCTAAGTATTTCAGATGAATTAACTCATTGAATACTCACCAACAACTCTGTGAGGCAGCTGCTTTTATCTGTCCCCATTTTATGAGTGAACACACCAAGGTACAGAAGAATGAGTAATTTCCTGGCAATCGTGTGGTTAGCAGTAGAGCCAGGATTTAACTCCCTGTAGGTCCCGAGTCTGCTCTTAACCGGTACACCATTCTGCTTCTCTTTGCTCATGTATCGAAGTATTTTGAGACTTTTCAAGAATATTCAAATTATTAATGTTTTCCTTTTCCCCCCCAAGATTATTTCTACTCCTTAAACTGTATATTTTTTTCATTGTTACAATAATCATAAGTAGTCATGAAAGAAAATTCAGGAAAAACCAAAAGGCAAGCACTTTACAAAATACAAATCAGTATTTTGTAACATTTCTAACTGATCCAATCTGTACATACAATTTTGAATTGTATTTTTTATATAATATTATAACCAATTCCTTTCCCCATATTACTGTATAATGTCCTTAAACACAATTTAAAATACATTCTTAGTGTCCTAGGAAACGAAAGCCACCACAGATTATTTCATTCTGTTGTGTTCTATTGGGGACACTAAGTTGGGTTTCTCTCTCTACTAAACAGTGAAGCCCATCTTTGGACATCAGTTTTTACCATATTTGGGATGGATTCCCATTGTAAAATTATTGGTTTGAAGAGTATAAATGGCATTAGATTATTTTTACCTTCAATTACTTTTTTCTTTTTTTAAGATTTAATTTATTTATTTGACAGAGACAGTGAGAGAGGGAACACAAGCAGTGGGATGGAAGAGGGAGAACCAGGCTTCTGCTGAACAGGGGCAGAAGATGTGGGGCTCCATCCCAGGACCCTCTGATCATAACCTGACCCAAAGACAGACACTTAATGACTGAGCCACCCAGACACCCCCTCTTCCATTACTTTCTAAAAGAGTTACACTAATACTATATCAGCAATACCTAAAGATATGCATTTTACCTTGCCAACTCTGAGTCTTATCATTCAAAGATAAATTTTCCATTAAATTGTTGAAAATTGATATTTTTGTATTTTATTGGTAGAGGATTAGCTCTTAAATATTTATTTAATCTTGTATTTCCTTCTGTGTAACTAATTATTTCATATTCTTTGACTATTTAATGATTTACATCTTAGTATTTAAAAAAAATTTTTTGTACAGATGTTTTACATAATCAGTATGTTAACTGTAATTTACTGCAATCTTCTAAGGCATGTAGTTTACTGTTTACTTTTGGTCCTCTCAGGGAAGGGGAGGGTACTTGACATACAGAAATTTCCTTTATTTATTTAAATCTATTGGTCTGTCACTCTGATTTCTTTAGCTGCTTCTAAGTTTATAAATTCCATCTGTGTTCAGATGTATGACAGACATTTAATGCTGTTTTCTTTCAAATTATCTATGGTTTGAAAGTTTTTATATTTTAACTATTTTGGTGTACACTATACAGTGGAAATTGGGGAATTTTTGTTTTTGGGTGGTTTTCTTTGCAGTTTCGTTCAAGAAGTTTTGTTTTTTGTTTTTTGAGTTTTTTTGAACATGTATAATATGCCAGGCATTGTGCTCAGTGCTTGAGGGCTGGGGGTGGATCATGGAGAATGAGATGTGGTATAATGGTAGCGAGGCTGTGGTGGGAAGTGAATGGCTTTGGAGACAGACCCACCTGAACTGGAAGGCTCATGGCCAGTAGTTCCAGAGTAGACTTAATTCCAAATCACTTAATTTCCTGAGCCTTCTCTAACTCTTCTTATTAGGAGGGTGAAAATACTTACCTTGTAAGTGAGTATTATAACTTATTCTACAGGGTTGTTAGTTACAAGGATGAAGTGAAATGTCATGTGTAGCACAAGTAAGTTCTCTTCCTTCATTAACTGGTCATAGAGCCCTGACATTTAGATATCACAAGTGGTAAAATTCTCAATTGCTTGAATTTGGTCAAATATATTCTTTCTTTCTTTTTTTTTTTTTTTTTAAGATTTTATTTGGGGCGCCTGGGTGGCTCAGTGGGTTAAAGCCTCTGCCTTCGGCTCGGGTCATGGTCCCAGGGTCCTGGGATCGAGCCCCGCATCGGGCTCTCTGCTCGGCAGGGAGCCTGCTTCCTCCTCTCTCTCTCTGCCTCCTTGTGATCTGTCAAATAAATAAATAAAAAAAAAGATTTTATTTATTTATTTAACAGATAGAGATCACAGATAGAGAGCCACCCAGGCGCCCCTAGGTCAAATATATTCTTAGGATTAAGAATGTTGTTAAAGATTCACTCCCCAGATATTTCTAAAGTATAGACTTTTGAGAACTTAAAAACAGAGTCTTTGTAGTTTGTTGACCTTCTTACAGTAACAAGCCCCAGATCTCCGTGGTTTTCTCCAGCAGACAATCTTTTCTCATTTTTCATGTGGGCTGCCGAAGGTGGCTATAGGTCTCTTGGCTCCGGCTCTCTTCTCCCTGCTTCCCCTTTTATGACCCAGGCTAAAGGAGCAGCTCTCTGGGACATGCGTTTCTCATGGCAGAGGGGAAAGGAGGGGAGAGCTTGCAAGAACATGCATGGCTTTAAAAAGTTTGTGCCTCAATACGGTGTGCTTCAGTGCACGTACATGCCGTTGGCCAAAACTAGACACAGGGCCAGGCCTGACAGTGGGGCCGGGGAATCTGCTGCATCTCAGAGAGGCACAGTCGGGCCAGCGGCCATGGGTGGTGATGTGTAATCCTCTTACAGGGAAGGAGGAGGGAATAATTGGACTTTTACTTGCCTTAAAACATTTAATCGACGCAACAGCACCATGAGGTATGCACCATGATCTCCCTCTTCAGGTGAGGAAACGAAGAGGTTTCCAAAGAAGGGAAGTGCATTAGCGGTGGAGCTGGGGCTGGCGCTCGGGCAGTCTGCTTCCGTAAGCCAGGCTCTTTCTTCACCCATGGCTGTGCCCACTGCCTTTCTCACCTTAACATCTGGACTTGTTTTTTTCCAGAAAAATCCTCTGATCTCTTGCTCAAGAAGGACATGTCTGGTTTCTAGCCTTCAGAGAGCAGGAGCGTCACCATTCCTATTCCTTAATATGCGCACTTGCCCTTATTCCACCTGCTTTCAGCACCACGCCTGCTTCCCCGGTGCTGTAGTGTCGTGCGCACATCCCGTAACTGTTAACTCCAGCCCTAAGTGTGGGAGAAGGTGCTCGTAGCCCCCTGTCTGGGTGAGGGGAGGGCTTTGGGGAGTCTAGTCACTCCATGTATCCTGTCAGTCACCCTGCTTTCATGTCTCTGCTTTAGCCTCCCTTCCCTGGGCCTTGGTGCTTCCCAGGCCTGGGCCACACTGGGATTCTGTACGTCAGACCACCTTGCTTCCTCCTTGGTTATCTCCGACTTCATCTGCTTTAAGACAGTTACCTCTCTTTCCCAACTTCCAGAATTGTTGAAATCTCAAACTCAAGATCTCATTCCCATTTATTTTGCCCTTGTGAACTTATGTCTTAAATTTCTTTACTGTCATTTTAGTGGGCTTTTGGAAGAACACATAGATAACTTGATGTCATTAATCCCTCTATTTTAACCAAGCTCCCAGGCTCTACAGCTGCAATTTTAATAGCTGCACGGTATTTGATTATATTGACATACCATAATTTATAAAATCAATTCTTTATTTTAGTTGTAGAAGTTATTTTAGTTTTATAAAAAGCAGTCTTTGAGGCTTTGTGAACATCCTTAACTTCCTTAGGATAAAATTTAGGGGTAAATCCCAAATTTTAAAACTTTTAATATTAATTATTGAGTAATTATTAGTATTTATTGCCATATTGCTCCCCAGAAAACAATTTACTTTCTGAATAGATATTATTCAGGTAATCATTATTAACATAGCAATTTTAAAAAATTCTCTTTATTCATACTTCTTTTTCAAGAGAGCTTTAGAATTATTTTTCAGCTTCCTATATAAAATCCTATTATAATTTTGTTAGTTTCATTAAGACTGTAAAATAATTTGGGATGGTGTAGGAACTTTACAGTATATTGTTTTCCTGACCAAGAAGTTGATATCTCTCTGTTCAGATATTCTCTAGTACTTTCAGTTACATGTTTTCTTAGTAGTTACATTAAATTATTGCTATATTTGCTGTCAGATTTATGGCTATTGTGAATGAGATGTTATTTATACTTTTATTTTTCCAGTTTGTTTCCACTGATAAATGGAATACTTACTGGATTTTGCTTATTTATCTAATATTTTGCCACTTTTTAAAAAGATTTTATTTATTTATCTGAAAGAGAGAGAGAGCATGAGCAAGGTGAGGGGCAGAGAGAGGGAGAAGCAGACTCCATGCCAACCAGGGACCCTGATGCAGGGCTCAAACCCAACACCCTGGGACACTGGGTTAAGGCAGACACTTAACCAACTGGGCCACCCAGACACCCCTATATTTTTGCCATTTCATGAATTCTTGCTATTAATAAGTTTTCATGGAGTCTTCTGAAATTTCCTAGGAATGCATTCAAATTAATTTACT